AGAATCCCCTCCCTGGCCCTGCTGGCCACGCTGCTCTGGATGCAGCCCAGGATATAGCTGGCTTTCTGGGCTGCCAGCACACAAGGCTTGTGGCACGTGCTTCGAGGTTGTCTGTACGCCTCTGCCTCGGGATCTGCTCACGTCCCCAGTTGAGCTTTGGTGCAATCCAGTGTGTTGATCTGAACCCCACGATCCGACCTTCCGTGGCTTTCCCCGCTAACAGACAAAGCCGGCGGCGTTTCTGATCGCCCCGGCGTATCGTCGCTGGGGGATGAAGTGTTCCAAGGGGGACGACGTGCCGCCTCCCCGTGCTGTTCGTCCCTCGGAGTCGAACCGAACGGCACGTGACGAATGCACCTTCTCCGCTAAGTCCGGTCGTAGTTTTCCTTCCGCTTGGGAAGTCCGAGCTCTGTGGATTTTGTCACTTGTAAATCAAGTGCTCTCTGTTAACTGGAAACGCTGACTTCCTTTCCTCAGTGACCTGTGTGCTACGGCAGCCGTAAATGCAAGAAGAAATATAAATCCTTTCCTCTGCAAATAAATTTTCATTTCATTTTGCTGTGAATACTAGAAACACTACTGTATCCTTCTCAGTTTTCTGCACGCCCCAGAAATGCCACCTCGCTATTCAGTCCTGTGTTCGCATTCCAAAATCAACTGATAAATACGCAATGTACTGCTTTCTGACATTTATTTGTCTATAATTTGGCATCGCTTATGAGATTAATCTAAGGAAGGAGATGAAGACTTTTTTTTGGGAAACGTGACTTTGAAATATTCTAACCTGTACGCTGCTTTCTAATGAAGGAATTTGCATGTTAAATTGTTGCTCACTTAAGTTTAAACACTATCTTTGGAAATCCACTTTTTAAACCCGATTTCCTTGACCATTCTGCGTGCGTTTGGAGTTCAGCAGCGTACGGACAGAGTCCCTGTTTTACTCACCCCTCGTGCTGGCCAAGTCACAACTCAGCACCGACGTCCTCCCCGGTGGGATCACAGCCCTCTCGAGCCGAACGTCGCCGCTGCAGCTTACACGGGAGCTCGAAAGGTACAGCAGAGGTGTCTGTGAGCTGCTGGCAGATTTGTTGTATGAAATAATACTCCATTTTTGCCTCGCGGAGTCAAAAATAAAATGAAAGAAATGTTTGAAAGCATTTAGTCTGCAGTTAAATAGCCAGGCGTTGTTTGACAAATCCACTTCAAGTTGAAAGAAGCTCAAACTGATTAACAGCTGAGGTAAAGGGGCTGTCAGAGCATTTGCACGGAGATCCACGACCTGTTTGGAAATAATTAATTTGGTAAGACTTACAATGGAATCCTAATTGCAATATCATCAATAACATTTATTTTACTATACAAGCACTTTTGCACTTACAATACATCTGGTTAGGATTTCAGGAATATCGCTCTAAGCTTTTTAATTTCAATGGAAGGTTTAAATTGTGGTATATTTAGAATTCTCCCATTGCAGACCACCTCTGTGTGCACGGGAAGCCACAGGGCTCTCGCCGTGGAAGGGCTGGGGGTACAAAACGACGCGTGAGCAGGTAAGCCGGCTATGGATTGGTTTGTGGCATGGCTAAATGGTGAATTTATCGTTCTATTTTGTATATTTACAAGAGTGTGTGTTTCCTATATATGAAAACCAAATATATATTATATGAAAATATTTATTATTTTCACCATTTGCTTTAGTTTTTATATACTGATATAATACTCAAAGACCAATATAATCATGCTGAATAGTTGACAATTAATATCTTAAATGGTGATTAACACAAAACACTGAAACAGTTGTAACGCTGCTTTACAACCTGTAATTTGCTGAGATCCCTGAAGGCGTCTGGGTGAATTTTAGTTATCCTGTTGTTTTGCAAGGCGATGTCCTTGAGCTGTGAACAGCTTTGAAAGTCCTCCCGATCAATCTGTCGTATGCCGTTGGACGACAAATGGACAGTTTGCAAAGACTGCAGCAGGCCTAGTCCTGGGGAGAACAAAACTGTTTTACATTTCACGTCCTTGTTTACCCAGCTGCGCCAAGCGGCTTTTTAAAATTCTTTGCAGCAGAATTCCTCCCCTTCCTGGCTGCTGCACCGAGCGGCTGCGGGCTGTGAGTTGTGGTGCCTTCCCTACGCAGTGGCTGTCCCACTCTAGAAGCGGCGTAGCACCGACAGCAGGCACGGGAACACATCCCCTGTCGAGGCACACTTTAACAATTCACATCTCCATCACAGATGTGAAGTTTGTGCTGTCAGCATCCTTCCGGCTGTGATTTCTGTACAAGGCTGAGAGGGGACCTTATCAATGCCTACAAATACCTGCAGGGTGGGGGTCAGGAGGACGGGGCCAGACTCTTTCCAGTGGTGCCCAGCGACAGGACAAGGGACAATACACACCAACTGAAGCAGAGGAAGGTAAAAAAAGGAAGCTCCAGCTGAACACGAGGAAGAACTTCTTCCCTCTGAGGGTGACGGAGCCCTGGCCCAGGCTGCCCAGGGAGGCTGTGGAGTCTCCTTCTCTGGAGATATTCCAGACCCGCCTGGACAAGGTCCTGTTCAGCCTGCTGTAGGTGACCCTGCTTGGGCAGGGGGTTGGGCTGGGTGACCCACAGAGGTCCCTGCCAACCCCGACCAGTCTGTGATTCTGTGATTCTCTGGAGAACTGGAGGTAAGAAAGGAGGAGTGTGGAAAGGGTAGAATACGCCCAGGGTATAAAACCCAAATATGTTAATTGTTAATAAAAAAGCTTCAAAAAGCAAGGCAGTATCTCCTATTCACTGCCATCTGCGAGTTCACGGGAGCTTTCCGTGTGTGGGATTATTCAAACTGCAGTCACAGGATGTAAATGGGACTGCAAGCAGAAACACGCTGCTGCCTGTGCCTGTCTGCCGGCGAGTTACCAAGCACGACGGTATATTCCTCCACCTGCCCCCGTAAGCTGCCCTTTCGCATGCTTGG